AAAAATTCCGTAATTTCGTAAAGGACTCATTTTGATAAATTGTTTCAAGAATTTCTATAGGATTTTTTTGTAAAAACGCATGATGGTCTTTAATTAAATATTCTTCAATTCTGGTAACTAAAGGTTGGAGATCAAGTTCATCTGCTGCGATTGACAGCTTTAATAACTCGGGTCCTTCTAACTTTGTCAGGTCAATCTTTCCACAATAAATAAATCTGAAATTCAAAAAGGAGTATATGTTTTATTAGTAACTTATAATTTTGTCGCTAGTTGTCGTAAATGCTATTTAATTTATTTACCTTAAGGCAATTTTAAAAATATGTGGAGAAATATTTGGTATTTTTAAAATGAATTTTCCATCCCTTCTCTCAACATCTTTTTTAGTTAATTCATCATAAAAATATTGCGACCTGATACATAAAATATTTGAAAGAGCGTGCAGTTCTTTGACGCTTTCACCTTTGCCGGCATATATAATAACATCATATCTTTTGTCAGTTTCAAGTAACTTTTCATAATCATTAATAACTTCTTGCCAACATTCTAAAGACATTTTTTTTTTTTTTTTTTTTTTTTTTTTTTACAGAAATGAAAGGAAAAGAATAAATAAAAAAACCATTTAAGGATTTATTTAAACAATGCAGTCGAGTCGATCGAAAAATAATGTTACACACTACAAAGAACATTTAGTAATATTTCTGTAGTACCGATTTGACATTCAAATATTCGCTTTTTTTTAACTCTTTTTATAAAATTTCTAGTGTATTATCAAAATTTTCATGTTTAGCATATACAAAAGTATAAAGACTGAATTAGTGGATTAAAAAAGTTTAGAATAAAATTTGCATGATTGAATTAGCTCTTACATCGTCAATATCCATAATTAAGCGACTTTTCCAACCCTATTAGTAGTGAACCAAATTTTTTTTATGGATAATTTCAACAGAATCCAGTATTGAGCATATCATTGATTGAGTAATATCCTATATGGATGAAAATTTCGTCACGATTTATTAAATTTTTGACTAATCAATATTTTTTAAAAAAAAATAAATAAAAAAATAGTTCATAATGTTCAATTATTTTTTTTTATTTTTGAAAAGGAAAGACTTTACTTTCGTCGTTATATTTATTAAAATAAATAAATAAATAAATAAATGCCAAAAAAAACTTTTACGTCCTCGTTTCAAAAATACCTAATTTTGATTATTATTTAATGCTTTTATAAATATAAAGTTATTAATATAGGCAATACAATATAGAAAAATTTAGGATTTTAAAACATTTATAAAAATAATATCAAAAAGCTGCTCTTAAAATGGTGTTACAAAGAATGATTCGAACGTAACATCAACAGCAAATGGTATGTGTTAAAGTTAGGAAATTTATATTGAGTATGGATTTGATAACAATGGAATATTTGAAATGAATAGAAGATAAAGATGAAAATTTGATTGTTTGGCTTTGATCAGAAAGAGATTACGGCGTTACTTATGTATTTATTTATGTTACAATCATTCATTTTTGATAATGATAATTCAAAAGTACCTACATCATAGATACAATAGACATAATATTGAGATTATGAAAAAATTTATTTCACTAATCAATAATTCTTTTTGAAAACTTTTTTTAAGGGCATCTAATTTAGAATTTTATGTCTACAGACACTATCTTAGCTACGTTTAATATCATGAAATAAGTGATAACAAGCCAACGACTAATTATAATTAGTCCACTAAAGTACACGGATATTTTATCTTACGAATAAAAGAATTTTTTCACCCTGACAAATAATGCATTAAAGAAATATTAATTGGTTATGGGCATGATTGATGATAATTTTTAGTGTAACGGTAACATTCTCTTAAAATAATATTCAACAAAATTTTTGAGGTCAATGATTATTAAAAAAAAAAATTAAATTTACATATATATTGCTTGAATTTTTGATAATTAGATGCTTTTATCCTTCCTTCTCATTCCGTTCATTTTGCTCCCTAAACTTCTTAAGGCACGACAATTGTAATCCAAAAACAATAACCCCAGATTTTTTAGTATTCGTGTCTTCTCCTAATAATTTCTACAGATTATAATATATATTTTTTAAATGATTAAGACGGTTAAAATATCCAAAAAATAAAAAGTAAATTTACATATTGATTTTACCTGTAAATATAAAGTAGTAGCCTCAGTTGCCGATTTCTTTGAGATCACTTGAAAATTTTCATCTTTTTTCATCCAATCAATTTTAAAAATTGGACTATGATTTTCATCATAATTAATTGAACATGTAATAATTTGTTTCGCGCTGCGACCATAAGTAGTTTTAATTTTGTAATTGGTGGGAATTGGATATGGACTCATTCTCTTGTCTCCTCGTGTCGTTTTACATTCATTAGGATAAAACCCGACTTCAATTACTTCATAATAAAAGGTGCCACCATTACTACGTTTTTGATATTTAATATGTGGATCTTTGGGATAATTTTCTGTTTCATAATTTTCAAAGGATTCCATCTTATTTGATGTGATTGCAAAAAAAAAAAAAAAAAAAATTACAATTACGAGTAATAAAATTAGTAGTGCGAAAGAGAGCAACTTTCTGCAGAAATTTAAAGTGAAATATTTATAAATAAAAAAAAAATTGCTTGTGTCACGAATGTAATAGACATAACATGCATCATATCCGATTATGTATTATTTCAAGTTTTACAACTAGTTGAGAAAAAAACTGTAAATTTGATTTTACGAATCAATTATATACAATTACTAATTGGAAATGTTATGTCTCTAAGTTTTGAAGTAACAAATTTAACGAAATGATTTTGAGAAATTTTCATCATTTTTATTGCTATATCATTAATCCTTGCAAACAAAAACATGCCTCCAGTTTTTGATCCAGTAGAACTGATTTTAACATAAATTTTTTTGATGAAGTTTAATTAAATTTTTGCGTGTCGTAAATTACATGAACATTCATTCGAAATATCCATCCCTTTGATTTTACACGATACTTAACTTGTTATATTAATTAACAATAAATAGCAAAGTATAAGAAATTTGATGTAACTTTTATTACGTTATTATGGAATCACTTGTTTTTAAATCTTAAAAATGTAATTGTTAGAGGTTAAATTAATCTTTCATTTACTTATTTAAAAGAGAATTATAAAAAAACTATTTGAATTGATGATTTGATTTTTACATTTAAATTAAATTAAAAGTAATTTAACTTTTCACACCCTTCTATTGAAATTCGTATTAAAAAACAAAATCATTTAAACTTTTTGGTTATATAGTATATATTAAACTTTTGTATGAACGTGCTAATTACAAAGTATTATCGAATGTATAATAACGTTTTAACAAATTCAAATCTAAATTTTATTTTAGTCTTTTAGAACTAATGTATGGTACACCAATGCTTAAATTGAGTTTATAATTTGACCCATCTAATAAAAGAACTCGAAATAATTTTTACCAAACCTCTTCTACCTTTTCTCGGAATGTGTAATGTTAAATTAGGTATTTAAATTTAATCTATTAATATTTCTTTGTTTGATAATCTATTACTTTAATTAAACTTAAACGTTAAATATTTCAAATAAATTTATATTTTATTAGAAAAAGAAAGTTTATACTAAACAGTAAATAAAAAATAGAATAATAAAAATAATAACAAGAAGTCTTGCCTAAATTCTTCCATCAATAACTAAAACAATACCTCAGAACGAGGAATGAACTTCGCTTTCCTCTTATTTTATGCTTTTATCTGAAATTAAGCAAGCGAATTTGTTCATTTCTTATCTTACCGAAATTTTTTTTAATGTCATCTTCTATGAGGTTTCAATTGCATTTTTTTTTTTTTTTTTTTTTTTGAATTCAAGCTAATCTGATGACAACCATCAAAGGGATAATCCAAAATTTAAAGCAATTCTTAACACCTCACTTTCTTTATCAGACTATATTAAAATATATTGTATAATTCACAGACCAAATCCTTCTATATCATAAGGAATCACCAGTATAGAAAAAACCCGTTGAAAGCTTTTAACGTTGAATCCTTTCCCCATTTTCTTCTACATTTTGTTGATATTTTGGAATGAATTTCAAGTCCAATTAGGAAAATCCTACCGGCATTAATATGCAAATTACCTAAGTTGGTAAATTATAAAACCCACGATTTGAGAATTTAAATTGCTATTTAACAGATATTTTTATCTGTTTTTATTCAAAAAAATTCTATTAGAAAATATATTGCTTCAACAACGAGTTTTCAAATGTGAATATTCAACTCGATATTTCATTCGACTTGAAAAGGCCAAGGATAAAAATGAATGACTAAAGAATTAATATGTTAAGCACATTGAAAAAGAGAATTTGCTGTTACTGTGCGGATTATGATTCAAACTTATTTAGAGTAGAATCGATTTTCCAAATTAATTTCCTCCGTTCCAAATAACTTCTACTAGTGTTTGTTAGAGTTCCTCATCATAATCAAATTAGTAAATTTAGTTCAATCCATCCCATTTTGACGATAATTGTTATTTCATCTTTATTTATTATAGTTACCAATATGTATGTATGTTACACTGATTTATTATCATATGATTCGTAGCATGGCATTTATAATAATAAAAAAAAATAAATAAGAAAGATTATTCTTTCCTTCTTTATAATCATATTTAAAATATCGTGATTTTCTCTTGTTAAAATATAATAATGCGGTTATTTATATCACAAAATAAAATTACGTCATTTTATCTTTTAAATATTTTTACCAACAAGCCTTTTTAATAATACGTTTCTACATTTTTAAATTCTTCAGATTTCTGTAACAAATTAACAAATCCATAATCATTATCTACGACAATTATTTTCATCATCCTGTTCACTAAATTTCCGGGTCTCTTTAATTTCTACAACTTTAACATAGTCACTCAATCGTAAACAATCTATTGTTAAGCCATATTTATCAACATAATCGTCAATTTTTTCCTTTAGCTTATAACCGACACGCTCTTCATGTCATCCATTTTTCAATATAATTATTAATAGATTTACAACACATAAATGATAAGCTAAAAATAAATTTTTACAAGAAAATTCAATCGAATCTATTTTATTGTTCAATTTTTTGCACGATGTAAATTGAATATGAAATCAATTAAACGCGAGAATTTCATATTGGTAAAGTAAAGGTGTTTAATTGTCGGTTTTGATTTCATCAATAAGTTAAGCTTTTGATAAATTCTAAAATTTGTCATTTCCATATTGTGAATTCCATATTTAATGTCTTTAAACTTTTACTTTCTTTAAAGTATCTAATAATCCAGATCTAAATAATACCCTAGAAAATGCTATCAACGGATCTTGGAATAAGCGATAGAATCTTTTGATCTCGAATTGTTGATGGTCTATTACTCGTTATGTAGGTTATGGTATTAATTAGGCCTTCCAGGTTGCGCTATTGGAATTATCTTTCTTATCAATATTACACTGACAACAGATCTTTTCATATTTGTTTCTTCTTGATAACGAACAAAGGTATTATATAATCATATCTCTTTTGATCATCAACCATACGTGTCAAGTTGTAATAATTCATATCCTCAATAAAGCTAGGATAATCGAATATGTTTCTTTACCTTGATTTTCCTTGTAATCTTCAATATCGATACCTAAATCAATTAATTTTTGAATTTGTTCTTTATCAAAAAATCTTCAATTAAATTCACGGAATCAATACGGTCTGTTATTGATTTATAAAGCAATGGGATCGTCATAAAAGACCAATGCCTATTGACTAATGAACATGAATTGAGAAACCATTTTTGAATCCTTTGAATTTTCGAATAAATTAAATAAAATTATTTTGTTTTTTTAGTGTTTGATGATGTTATAAATAAAAAAAAAAAAAAAAAAGAAGAAGAATTTTATTATTTTAATAGAAAATCGAAGGCAATGATCGGCGCCAAAAAAACTGTGGTGACCGAATGAATCCAAAATTTCTCATTGGAATGTTGTGCAAATTACCCATTTTTCTTTTTTGCGAAACTACTGTGTTACATCATAACTTGATCGTTCTAAGTTTAGTTAAATGAATTTTTGGCGCAATTTCCGAATTAGTATATGACTTTTTCACTTTTTTACTATAAAAAAAATAAATGTTCTTAGAATGTTGGCAAGAAGCTGCTGATGATTTTGAAAGGTTACTCGAAACCGACGAAGGATATGATGTTATTATATATGCCGGTGAAAATGAAAACGTTAAAGAATTTCATGCACTTTCTAATATTTTACGTATCAGGTCGCAATATCTTCGTAACGAACTAACAAACAAAAATGTTGAGAAAAGGGATGGAAAATTTATTGTAAGATTACCAAATATTTCTCCACAAATTTTTAAAATTATCTTAAGGTAAATAAAAATTATTTATAATGTATGACAATTATATAGACCAAGGTTACTAATTTAACGCTTTCTCTTTTGAACTTTAGATTTATTTATTGTGGGAAAATTGACTTGAGGAAATTAGAGGGACCTGAATTATTAAAGTTGTCAATTGCAGTTGACGCACTTAATCTTCCAACTCTAATTCCCAGAATTGAAGAATATTTAATTAAAGAACATCATGAGTTTTTACAAAAAAATCCTGTAGGTACTCTTGAAATAATTTATCAACACGAGTCATTTACAAAATTATGCAATTTTTATCTTGAAAAGATTTGTGAAGACCCCGAAGGGTTGTTTAATTCAGATAAGTTTATCGGTATAAAAGCACCTTTATTGGAATTACTTTTGAAACGGGATGATCTATGTTTGGAGGAAATTGAAATTTGGGATAGTTTAATTAAATGGAGCTTCGCTCAAAATCCGTCTATTCCTAAAGATGTCAATAAATGGAACAAAGAAGAAACTACAATCATGGAAAGAACTCTTCATAGATTTATCCCTTTAGTTAGATTTCATTATATATCTTCAGAAGATTTTCTTGAAAAAGTTCTTCCTTTTAGAGAATTGCTACCAAAAGAAATGTTTAATTCCACCTTAGCATTTTATTTGGCACCAAACAAGAAATTAAATATCGAGATACAACCATCAAGACAGTCAAAAAATGTTTACAATTCAGTTTTAATTAAACCTCATCACTTTGCCATATTTTCCATTTGGATCGATAAGAAAGAAAAAAAGATTCCTTATAAATTTAATTTACTTTATCGTGCCAGTAAGGATGGAAATACAGCTGCAGCGTTTCATCAAAAATGTGATAACAAAGGGGCTACTATATTTATAGCAATAATTAAAAATTCAGAACAAATAGTGGGAGGATATAACCCACTTTATTGGGATCAAAGTGGTGTTTATAAGTCAACTAAGGATAGTTTTATTTTCTCATTCGTAAAAACAAACCTTAAAACTGCAAAAGTAGGTTATATCATAGATAATAAAGCTTATTATGCTATACAATGTCATCCAAGTTATGGTCCAATGTTTGGTGGTGGTTGGGATCTTT